ACTGTCGTAAATGTAAATTCACCATTATATGGGCGCGTTAAGCCATCAGTTTAGAAAATTATGATAATTTACATATATTATGTCAAAAAGTGACTGAACGTAAAACAAAACAAAATTTACCTCATCAGTCTTCTGCCATGTTTTCTTTATGCTAAATTACATCTGCATAACACTAAAAATTTTAAGATTATGCTAATTTTGATATACTTCTATTTAAAGGTACACGGCCTATCTGTTGTAGTTATAACAACGTCTATTGTTTTTTTTCTTAACACAGGAGTTTCCATTTGGATGTAAATGCCGAGGATATGATTTCTATGTAGCGATACAATTTATAAAAGAAAAGAACGGTACAAACAAACATGTGGTTGAAAAATGAGCCGGCGTTTATTAAATGAAGACGCCCTTTTCTCTTAACGCGTTGCTAATGATAATTTATATTCTCCAATTCGTGTTCATATACAGACAGTTATATTTTTATAGTTTTTAATGTACAGTATGTATTTTTCAAAATTATTTATACATGCAAACTTTATTTCAATCTATCTTTGATATTAATAATTTTGCATGCACTTTGTAAATTTTCGCGTTCTATCAGTGTTTCCTATCAAGAGAGCGAGTACCCGAAACGTGTGGTTTAGACAACAAATTTATGAGAAATCTAAGCACCTCCTCCGCTGTATATCTATGATTTATAATATAAAGTTAGTTATAAGTGCTCGAAATTACAAATATGAGACGATGCGGAAATATAATTATACTACTTCACACTAATTTAGTTGCATTCGAGCCGGTGTTTTTTTTTTAATTTTTAGCGGTACAGTGCGTGGGTAATATTATTATTACAAAGAATTATAACGCATTTAACTCTAAAAAATATTGTCAACATAAATATGTTGTGTCAAAAACTTTACTTTCATTGTCACCGAGCGTAGTGCCGGTGATTATATGATTATATCGACAAAATAATTTCAACCTATGGCATTATGTACAATTTTGAAAAAAAAGTTGTAGGTAGGTATACGTAATTGCAATGGATTTAATCGAAATATCTGCGTTTCAGTTTCAGAGATACCCAAATTGCTTGTTTACCAACACAAATTTACTTAACCCGGTGATCATTGTACGCAGTTGGAAAAGGGTAGGGGTTTGGTAATTAAAATAGGTATAGATACATCAAAATGGCACTCCTACTAATGTTGATTGTTAGCAGCTCATATATACGCTTTGTTAACGACCGGCAACCATTATAAATTATTTACAAAAGAAACTACACCGTTTATCCTTTTTCAAATTTTGATTTTGTGATAAGTGATAGTTAATATTATAATAGAGTACGAGCGTACCCTATATTCTGTGGTTGTTCTATGTGTATTGTATCTTGTTCTAGAATCTAGATCAATCAATATTTAGTGTCCTTTCTGGCGATACATGTAGGAATTCGTTTATTAATTTAATGCCACCATTTTATTGTATAATATGCATTACATAACATATACCCCACGCGTTAGCTTTTTATAATTAACATTCTGATCCATTCAGTTTCTGTTTTTCTACAAGGGGCGCCAGTACCAAATAGGTAAATCCTGCAACATTTAAATATATTGTGCAACTTGGAAATGCGAACCAACAAATGACGGTATCTCTTTCTAGAACAAACCGACGGACCTCAAGGTGATAGGCATGTATAACGTGTTGATTCCTTATGCTGCAGAGTTTACATATTACTCTCGCCAGGAAAGATTGCCGGGCACAGCACACCTTATATCGATCTACAATCTATGTTTTTCTTAAGATGCGAGCGACTTCCGGAATATGATCGTGCCAATATTGAACGAAGTCTTTTCGTTCAACATTGACACGATACTATCCCGGAAATCCCTCCCACCTTAAGAAAAACATAGATTGTGTTCTGTGACCGGCAATCTTTCCGCGCGAGAGCTTTATTAGGTGATCATTACTTTTGTCAATGACGAAATTTCTTGCGCTGAAATCAATCTGTAAGCTTTCCTCGTGTGTGCATTTTTAAAGAAACTCTCATATAATAGCTATCTTACACTATGGCTATACTTACAAACGTCGTTGTAAGTAGTACAAAAGTATAACAATTCCTATAAATCCTGGGTCACTTATTCAATTATTACTATATTGCCTTTATTGCAACTGAGTTCAGAATGTATTGCAATGATTTGAATGATATAAAATGAATGTTAATTCAATTTCTTTGGAAATATTTTAGTTTCATTACTAAAAATTGAACTAAACAACATTTACAAAATGAATAAGTTTTTGTTAGCTGACTATAAGATGCTGGAAAAGTGTTATTTCTTGTTTTCTAAGTTTCTAAGTTTGCTAAAAACATTGACCATTGAATCAGTTTGTATGAATGAGCTGATGTGTCTTAAAGAGAAAACAAAGCACATGGATTTTCAAAAACGTTGGGAACCCAAAACCCCTTACTCACTTTCACTTCTTTCAATATAACGGTAGTGCTGATAAAATTTGAAAAAAAAAGCAAATAATAATTTCCCCTTCTATTCAACGTTAAGCATCGGCAAATCTTTTCCATTTTTTAATTATACTACCTACAAAGTAGTGAGCTGAGTAATACAGCTCATAATTTTTCTATTTCGTTTGTTTCTCATTAGTAGTGTGAAAAGTGTGTGGCTCACTGTTGAAAATCTTCTGAAATGAAATGGGAAACAAATTCTAAAATCGTACTGATCACACTCACTAAACCCAGCGATATTGAAAGGCAAAAAACGGACTTAGAAAGTATATATATATGTTACGGTAAGGGTACATAATGTGGTAATTGTATACAATTACCTGTAATTGTATACATTTACCGGAGTCTTTGGTAAAAGTAGAAAATAATCTTTAAAAAAACCCTATTTCCTACCTTTACCGGTAATTGTATACAATCGCCAGAGGAGCTTGGTGAAAGTAAAAAATTCAAATTTCAAGAATCGACACGCAAGCGCAGTGAGTTTGTTTACCACGTGCATGTGTGATCCTATTATTAGTCTGCAATGTTGATTCTTCGGAAGTGTTTGTATCTGTTCTGCCATACAAAATTTGCCTCTTGTTATTGATTCAGGCAAAAAACCTCTTGTTTTTAGGTTAAAAAAAACAATAATAATAAAAATTACACTTCTTAAAAAACTATTTGAATTTATTGTTTTTATTTCTTCTTCTATCATTTTCTTACTTTTACCGCTGGTCCTTGGTTATTGTATACAATTACCGGTAAAAGTACATAATTGAGAATAATTTCGTACATTTACCAGTGACTTTGGTGATTGTATACAATTAAGTACTTTTACCGTAACATATACATAAAAAAATGCTGATATTTGTTTATTGAAGCATGGCGTACTCTAAAGTTTTATTTATTTTATTTATTTTTGGCCTGATTTTTGAGTGTTACATTACATTTACACAAGTGTATTAAATTTTTAATACCTATATCATGATCACGTTTGCAACCTAATTAAATATCAGGAATTCGTAATTATTGAACCACCTGGTACAAATTCCTATTCAAAACAAATTTAGACACCTTCAGGATGCTAAACTCAAAACCCACACAAAAGACTGGCATTGCTGAAAGTGAAATTCTAATTTTACAGTTAGGTAATGAAAAAAAAAGAAGAAATTATCAATATCTAGATACGCTTATCATTTACAAACAATACACAAATTTGTAAACCAAACTCTTCAATACTATAAAAATGACTTCAAATGCGAATTCCTTATGCAAAATCCCCAAAAACGAACGATTCCTATTTTTATACAATACACAAATTCAAAGGAACTGACTTCTATCGATGCGTTGAAATTTTCTCCAGTTATCGATCGAATTTCTTCTTTAGACGGTAGCGGCAATTTGGAAAATTGAATGGTGAAACGCCTTAGGCAATTCGCGATTCAGTTAACAGTGAGACCTCTAGTGGCAGCACATGGTAATTAATATTAATAAAACTCACCAAGAGTAATCAATATTGTAGTTTTTACAGCTGTAAAAGTAAATACACTTGCAAATATTTCATTCGCAATCAATGTTATCACACTTTAAAGAGCAAGGACAGCTTAAAACGCGTTATTGCGTTACTTTCAAGAATTTATTTTAAATGTCATCAATGTAATTATGCAACCAACAAGAGTATATACTTTAAGAAACGTCGTCTCACGCGTAACAATTCCACTATCTTTAATTGTGAACAGTGCAATTGGCCAATTGCACACCAAAAAATAGGAGATATTCTTTAACACACTGGCACCCCGCTTTGAATAACGCTATCAGTGTAATTACCTTACAATTAAGCGTTCGCTTAAACGTCACCAATTAACCGACACAACCTTCTCCAACATTTGATTTGTGAACCGTGTAGTTGAGGTACTCATGATAAGCATAACTCAAAACGGCATAAACGGCATATTCACATTGAATAATATTTCGAATAAAAAGGTAAATTTATTAAAGCACGACACAGTGAAAAATTCCGGTTCTTTAATTTGTTGCCCGTGTAATTATGCCACGAATATTAAGGCTCTTTTAAAACATAATCGACATAAGGGAATGTCGGCGAGTTGTTGTACGAAGCCTATCTATTTCGATATTCCCAATGTTAACAGTGGTGTGCCCCTAAGGAGATTTACCGTACTTGTTAACATACGGAGACTGGGCTATAAGTGGAATTCATAGATATTACTTAAGACTATTAATCTGACGATTGCGTTTGTCTAATAATATCAATCGTGTAGCGATTTTTGGTCTGTTATCGCGCTGCCTATAGCCACGTCTCGGTAGCAGACCTATACTGTTCTGTTTTAAGAATGTGCGCCGAAATATGCAGCAGCTAATGTGACACTACTGTAAACGGATAAACGTTTCTCTCCTTTGTCATAACCTCCCTAAATGTGAGGTCACTTTTGACAACAAAATAACTGCAACAAAACGCGATACTTATTTAATAATACCTATAATGGTGGTATAATAAAAAGTGATAAAGTATTCATGGATATAGTTAAAGCATGCCATACGTTGCCCTGTCCTAAATTTTCTAATTTAAAGTTAGATATGCTATTCTACAAATTAATTTGTTTACATTTCCAAAATAAAAAGTTGCAGCTTGCAGAGTGTGAATTAATCAATATCTAATTTTTTGAAAGTTCCATCGGGGCAAAATATCTCCTCAAAGTGCGTTAGCTTCTGTGGACGAAGTTGCTCATTGGTAATGTAGTTCGGATCGGCAAGAAACCATTCCTTGTAACTTTCAACCTTGGTCTTCCATTCATCTAAAAGTGTATATTCGTGATAACCAAGTAAGCACAATCACCCCACCTGCTGCATCGCGAACCGTTCCGTTAGTTCCACCGTATTCTATTGGTAACAGCTCTTTGGACAAAATACTTGGCAGTGTTTCTGATGCGTCGCCGCTGAGAACACTGACCTAATTTTTTGAACAAAGGTTATGGCGTTCTAACTTAAACCTACAGCACATATACCCTTGGTTGCAGTTTAGAGGAAATAAATGGTTTAGCCAAAGCGTTGTACAGAGTTGCGAACACCGTTGGTGAACTAAAGCCAAAGATTCTGTCAATTCTCAATGGGTAGGCATCCTGAACACACATAACGTATTTCCTGAGAATTGACGGCGTGTACTGCAAAAAGTAATCCAGTGGTAGGTCACTATGATCTACCAATAAACAAATTCCCGATATAACGAAATTGTCGTCTTCCTGCATTAATATGTCCACCGTCATAAAAAATACCTTTAGCATGTCAGCGAATGAAATGCCGTTCATTCTACCATTCTTCATAATGAACAATACAATTCTAGGACCTAAATAACTGTCCACCTTAGGTACAGGCACCACCGCCCTAAAAATTTTATTTCATCTTTGGAAGATTTTATATTTACTTGCCCTTACCCGGCCTTCAGTGCGTCCTGTACTGCAGGCGAAAATGGATTTCTATCGTCAAAGAACTCTGGTACAAATGATTTTATAGAATAGAAGTAATCGAGTTTCTCTTTTACCCGCTGAAGGTTCCATTTGCATCCACGAAAGAACGCAACCATTGTTTGATCGTCTAAAAACATAAATGTGTCTATTAGGTACTCAGTACTAGAGGCTTGGGAGTACCTTCTCTGACGTTTAAATGTGGTTGTTTTTTCAGCCATTCTCTAATATTCTCTAGTGCATCATGTTGCTTGCCTGGTTCTTCATTAAGCTCTTTAACTGCTTTTTCCTGCAATTCCGTTGAAAGTGGTCTTATGGGCATTTTTCTGAAAACGAGAACATACCAACAAATTAAAAATCAGTGTTTATTCTCGCGAAATACCTTTTAAAAGAAATTGTTCACACAGTGTCAAATAAATCGGGAGCGTTAGAGTAGACCCACTGCCACGATCAAATAGGTTATGCGAAATTGTCACACGATTTGCATGGGGTTAAGATTGATTCTTTCCACAAACAATAATAGTAACAGTAAGACATTAACAGACACCACCGACAGAGACGTCTCGTCCAGACCCTTCATTGTCCATGTGGGGTACGCTCTTGCAGCACTCCGTTTAAGAGGTATCCAAATTTTGACTACACCGGCAGGTACGTCTCGGTCAGACCTTCTAGTTTTCCTTTGAGAATATCCTCTTCCGACACTACGTTATACAGGGTGTTCCTAAACATGATGTAAATATGTATTTTATGAGTAAAAGTTTATATAAACATAGGTCCGCAAACGCTTCGTTACCGATCAACAAGGTGTCAAAGTTTCAATTTTTCTTTTTATGTCCTACATTTGCTGAGATATTTTGCTCAAATTTGAAATATAAGTTACGCTGAAAGGCTTACATCATTTGCCACGCCAATGATAATGAGAATCTACAATGTTTGTTCCATTTCCTACCCCTGAACGCTTTTTCGGTGCGCCACTGGTAGATTCTAAAATAAAAATTTGATTTTCTAGTTTGTTTGGAAACTTTTTGATCTCTTATAGTTTTTTTCGTATTTGCGGCCATTATCGAGAAAAAAATATAAATCAATTTTTGGTAGTTAACTATATGAAAGTAAAATTTTTAAAATCGTCCAGTAGACCCTGGCTTTATTTGGATAACGATAACCTCTTGTTTTTATTAGTCTTGGCAGTTCGCATTTGAAGCTGTTTGCATATGTTTCTAATTTAAAGGTTTAATTTGTAAAGGGTATGATGACTTTATAACACCCTATACATCGGTAACGAAGCGTTTGAGGACCTAAGTTTATATGAACAATTAGTCAAAGAATTAACCCCTTCCATATTTACATCATAATCAGAAACACTCCATCGACATCTCCTAACCTCATTCAAACTTAAACTATAGGTGGTTAATCAATGTTAAATATAAGTTGAGGCTCAGCTTCCGAAGTTTTCCCATTGAAATTTGCGAATAGGTAACCATTTTTTAGAGAAATCATTTTTTGAGAGACAAAAAATAGATATTTCAGCTCTCCAAGAAAATACCTATCCTGCGAGACCCATTTTCTGCCACTGAATCAGTTTTGACCTTAGCATGAGTTCGTTATTTTGGATCTTCGGTTTTGGAGACTATCGCCATTTGAGATTTTGTGATATTAAGGTATTTTCATTTTAAAAATTTCAGATGTGAGGAATTTTCCCGTTTGTAATTTAGAGGCTTTGGAAACCTGAAATATTGGATGATTCGGGACCCGATTTTTAGGATTTGTCACTGTCAGAATTTGAGATTTGCTATTTTGAAAATTTGAAATTTTGGTGTTTTCTAAATTTTGGAACTTTGAGACCCCCCGATTCTTAGGTAATGAAGATTTTGAGTGATTAAGGTTTTCATTTGTCTTGGACTTGTAATTTTAAAGTTTTGTGAGCTCTTAAATTTTCGTATTGGAGATATTTCCATCTTACGATTTAAAAAAGATGAGATTTTGGGAAATTTTTGAACTCTGTAATTTAGAATTTTTGAGATTTTGTGGTTTTATAGATTTGAGATCTTAATAATTTTAAAATTTTGAAATTTTAGATTTTTGAAGTTTACAATTTTTGAATTAAGATCATGAAAATTTAAAGGTTTGCGGTTTTTTAAGTTATTATTAGGTTTCTGAAGTTTAAGGTTTGACAATATGAGATATTGAAATTTTGAGATTATTCAAATTTGACTTTTAAAAATTTTTAAATTCCACATTTTTTTATATTCAAAATTTTGGCATTTTGGATACTATGGGCACTTTGGAGTGTCGAATTAAAGGATTTTTCAATTTTAAAATCAGATTTTTCAATTCTTGAGATTTTGTGATGTCAATATTTTTAAATTTTTGAGTTTCTGAAAGTTGAATTTTGGGATTTTTTAACTTTGAGATTTGGGTATTAGGTACGGAATTTGAGACCTTTTTATTTTTAGCTTTGAAATTTTGGAGTTAGATGTTTTTGCATTGGAATTTGAGATTTTAAGAAATGAAAGGGTAGTGAAACGTGATAGTAAAAATTTAAAGAAAATTACAATTTCTAAAAGTATAATAAATTAACAGTATGGATTAAATATAGTAAAATATTTATCGATTTAGGTACTTGCCTCCCTACCCAATTCACACAGAGATAGGCTTGTTTCGTCACTCAATGGACCAAATCATTCAAAAACATCTGCACATAACCATTATATTTTAAGAATTCATGTTTGCTATTTTTCAGCTAGTTCTCCATTGCGACTGGCAGTCTTGGAAGATTCTTAAACCAATGTCGAACTGTATGGACGTTTTATAGGAAACTGAAATTTTGGGATTTTTAACTTTAAGAGTTTGGAATTTGGGGTCTTTGGATTTTTTGAATTTTAGGATTTTTAGAATTTGGGGAGTATGAGATTTTGAAATTTCTGAAAATGTTTAAATGTTTAAATTGAGATTAATTATATTCTAAAAATTTAAAATCTTGGGCATTTGAGATTTTGAGATTTGTGTTGTGATTTTAAGATTTTGGAAGTTTCAGATTCTTTAAATTTTGAAAATTTGAGATTTCAGTATTTTATGGGATTTCGGAATTTGGAAAGCGTTGACAATTTACGAATTTGAGGTTTTGGAATTTCTAAGATATTGGAAAATTGGCGATACAGGCATTTATTAAATTGTGGAAATTTGAAATTTTGTTTTACAACGAAATCTGTAATGGCGCTAGATCAAAGCGGCTGCAGTCGGCAAAATGCAGGCGTCAACTGAGTCTAATCGGTTACATATCGGATAAAACAATTATCTAACAAACTCGTAAAAACCCATCGTTTATAAAGACTACAAAAAAATTACAACAGAGTTAATTGTGTACATGAGCGGTGAGGCAAGACCGCTTTGAGAGAGTCGAATAACATATTAAAAAATCTCACATTTTTATGTATTAATATCTTCTTTGCTCTGTAACTACAAGTCAATGATGGGATAGGTGAAAAAACTGACATAGTTATCAACCTTGAGGGTAAGAGTGTTATTTTTTATTTTTAATTATTGGTTTCAGTGCTAAATACCCACAATATTTAACATTATTCAATAGAATATGATTCTTATGATTAACATACAATAGTTATACTAATGTCAGCTGGTACTAATTTATTTATGAAATCTGAACTGTTTCATTATTTGCGCTTGTTATTGCTTTGTAAGATCATAAATAACAGTTTTTAATTGACTTTCCATGTAGTAGAAAATTAATTAAGCCTTTATCGTTATAATTATCTGCCTATATAGGCGGGTGCTTTTTTTCAACCATTTCGGTGAACTGCGGGGATGACGTGTAATTTATAGAATAATCGTCGAATGTAACGTGCGGTGTGCCTTTTTGGCCTAATGAAGCACGGTACAATTCGAAACCACTATGACATCCATAATAATTCATTTGATGCAACAGATAATTAATTGCAATAATAACTTACCATCAATGGTCTTATGCTCTTCCACTGAATCCTAACATACGTACCTCACTGAGCGGATAATCGGGTTTAGGACTGATACCGAAATTACGTATTTTCGCTTTGATATAGCATAAATTAAGGATTCGGCACCTTTGTCAAATAAAACAATGGCATATCATTATCAACCGACTAAAGATGTATGAAATTTATTTAATTCCAGAGCTAGGGGGCCTATAGTAAACTTGTTCGTTATACTAGCGCATACTTCAGAAAAAAATGTTTATAAAATTGTTAAATAGTGGTCACTTACCCAAGCACGTCAAAGATACACGTATAACCAAAATTATAGAAATAATATAAGGATTTGTATGCAATTGAAACGATCTTATGGGAAGGTTCACGTTTGGCAAATTAATAGTTTATATGATATTTATGTAAATTAGCCCCCCCAAGCATTTGCTCGTCGTTAACCGTATATGACGTCACGATTCCCAACACTAATCAGCGATAACTGACAATTGTATTATGTGAACAAGACTGTGGTGGTGGATGATCCAAAGATGATTTCATAACGAGACCCAGACGGGTGCAACTAGGTGAAGTAAAATATATTCAACTAAATAGCATGAAGATCCACATTTTACTGCTTTTGTGGGTATGGAATGGAAGAAAATTTAAAAAAAACGAATTGGGAGAATCAAGCGCACATCAGTCTTTATAATCAGTAACATCTATTTGTAGTTCTACTGTAGAGCTTACATTTACTTCTTTAGGAATTGCGAGATGTGCATTTGGTTTGAAATCGCCAAGAGTTGTGCCATTCCACTTTGAAGAAAAAGTGAAATCCAGATTCCGATTCTACATTATCAAGATGAAACAGAGATAATATTTCTGGCAATACTTATCATTTGAGCGACCGACTTTTTAACGTAAATTATACAGGGTGATTCCTATAGTACCTGCCACCGTTTGGGAGCGTATAGGGGGTGCCTAGGGGAGTATTTTGATATAGGACACTTGGGGTCGGAAATCTAAAATAAGGGCGCCAGAACCAAATTTATCTTCTGGAATTTCACGCCTGTATGTAGGCAACCCAACCGACCGACGTTTCGCGCGGAGCGATGCAGAGCGAGTTAGCGCGAGGAAGCGACATGGGAGGGAAGGAGGGAAAACGACAGTCAAAAGCAATAACGTTTACAAGTGTTCAACGTGGCCACCGTTGTTCTCAATGCACTTCCTACATCTAGCCAACTATTATTATACTATTGCCATAGTGTTTATTCACTTGATACGCGTCGTTGCAGACGGGATTTCGTGGGTTTAAACAAAATTCTGATCAAGTGTCAGCCACACATCGCCGCCTGAGATCGCTCCGTGTGCACCGCCGGCCGGTTGGGTTGCCTACCTACAGGCGCGAAATTCCAGAAGGTAAATTTGGCTCTGGCACCCTTATTTTAGATTTCCGACCCCAAGTGTCCTATATCAAAATACTCCCCTACGCACCACCTACACGCTCCCAAACGGTGGCAGGTACTATAGGAATCACCCTGTATGTACCCAAAATCGTCCTGTATCCTTCATTTTCATGCCTACTTTCTGTCAGGAAATTGTAGTTTCCATGACAGAGGCAGAGCAGACTACGTTTCCTGCCGCTTGTCACTTTACCGGCCGCATTTTTGACATAGCTAACTGTCTATAATGACTCATGTCATCACTGGCAGATTGACATTAATCAAAAGTTCTATATGAAAATTGAAATTTTATATTAAATACAATTTCGGGTAAAATTCAATACAAAACTCGTCAGTAAAATGACATTACCTGACTCGGAAGTTAAAGTACTCGGCCCCAAAGGGACCTCGCACTTTGATGTTTCCTCGTGTATGTATCATCTTTCGGACTTTTATGTGAATAACTAATAATGATAACTACACCTTTTGTTGTAAAATTTTGTCAGTGATCCACCTCTTGATAAGCAGATGGACAAGTTAAAAACTCCAAATATTATGGTATTCCACATAGGTATTTACGATTACCCTCACATTGTTTTTCGTAATTTACTGATCAGCAGTAATCACGAACTGCTATCAACTTTTTTTATGTCAAACGTGACGTTCACCAATTCAAATTGAATTTTTCCCGAACCCATACCAGTTATGTTCATGTTGACCCATTTTTCTAAAGCCTGACAACCTAATATACTAAGATGTCTGAAATTCAAGCTAGGGGAACCGTGGGCATATATTGACACACCGTCTTTCCGGATGAATAGGTACATTAACCCTTAGATACAATGCAGTCACTTTACAAGAATGCTATTTCAGCAACTTTAAAATCACTTTTGCTTTTGTCTTCAGTGGGTACTCTTGTCTTTTACGGAAAATTCAAGCTGTGTAAGTTTTGTGCTGTAACAAAAAGGTAAGGTACTTAGATTTAATTGAAATTACTTACTGTAAATTATGTTGCCTTCCGGTGCTGGTAAGTTAGGAGAAAGAGATCCTCAAATTGTTTACCATTTTGATTGTCTGTGTAGATAAGAATTCATGTTAGGTTTTTGGCGAGTTATTTTTATAATGGGATAAGCAGATCTGAGTTTCACATTGTATAGGCAATTCCAAATAACAGTGAGACCTCTGGTGGCAACACATTATAATAAATACAGTTGGAAGAAGATCGCCATTTTCATAGCGTCGCTTTATTTCCAATAGCCAAAAGTAACCAATATTGTAGCGTTTACGGTTATAAAAGTAAGTACACTACATTACACTACAAAATTTCATCTGCAATCAGTGTAATTACACCTTAAACAGCATTTTATCACAGTACTTTCAAAAATATTAAATGTGACCAGTGTAATTATGCAACCAACAATAAGGCTAATTTAAGAAAACATTTCTAAAGTCTTTAATTTTGAACAGTGCAATTACACAACAAGAAATAGGAAATATAAACGACGTCATTAGTTGGCACACTCCGCTTTGAATAACTTCAGCCGGCTATTCGTGAAATTACGCTACAATCACTATCAACCTTTCCAAACATTTTATGTGGGATCAGTGTAATTGCGCTAGTCACGATAAGTATAACTTAAACGCCGCATACCTGAAAACACGCCACATTCAAGGATTTACGTGCACTGTATGTGACAATGCCACAAATAGTAAGCAAAATTAAAAATGTCATTTATTAAAGCATGACACATCGAAAAATAGGTACTTAAATAGTGTTTAATTTGTGGTCAATGTAATTATGCTTAATCGACGTAAGGGAATGTAAGTAAATTTTTGTAAAGTTGTACGAGTGCGCGAAAAATTGAATGATAAATTGTAATTTTTATTTGTATCAGTTGCACGTTCAATCGAATTCAAGAGAGCCTCGAGTTCTTAAGAAAAAGGCTTTTAGGTAGAATAGGGTTAAGGGGTTATATTTTAAAGGCTCAAAAACGCCATGATAAACTCAGTTCAGTTTAAAATTAGTACCAATTTACTTAAAAACCTGCTAGAATAACAAGACGGTCCCAACTGCACTCGCCATTTGTAAATGAAACCAGCGCCTTTAGTGTTAAGCTGAAATGTCTATAGCTCAAGTGCGAGAAGTTGGTCTTCGTTTATATAATAAATAAACTAAACAAATGTAGAAAACGAGCTCCTGTGTACGGCTATAGCATGTGCAAAACCAAATTTTAAACCTGATGTTAGTTTTGCTTTTATTTAAAGTGTATTGTATGAAATTTCATTTAATTGCTTCCATAAATAAGAAAGTTGGCACTGCACATCCTACACAAAACCAAATTTAGAAAATGGCGCTACATTTGCTTTTATTCCAAGTGGCTATGTATCAAATTTCATTTGAATGCCTCCATAAATAGGAATGTTGGCACTGCGCAGATATTTTGAAACTGGCGTTATATTTGATTTTATTCCAAGTGGTTATGTATCAAATTTCATTTAAATACCTTCATAAATAAGAGTTTGCAATCCGGTTTGTAGGCTCCGTTAACTTAGCACCACAATTTCAAATTTTTGACTAAAGACAGATTGCGCTAGAATCTCTATGGCTAGCGCCAGCTAGCGCCACTTTGAGTTCAGCTAGCGCCATTATAGATTTTGCAGAAAAGCCCTTGACTTTCGGGGGGTGCTATGTTAACGCTAGCACCACCATTGCGTCCGATCATTTTCAAAAGCAAGCGCTGTGTTCGTCAGACCCAGCGCCAGCTAGCGCCACAAATTTTAGAGCTAGCGCCACCCCCCAATAGTGAGGGGAGCAATTTTTCCTAGCACCACCATTTTGTCTTTTCATGTAAAATTTTGACGTTTTGTGTTCTGCTGACCTAGCGCCAGCTAGCGCCACTTTGAGTTCAGCTAGCGCCATTATAGATTTTACAAAAAAGCCTTTGACTTTCGGGGGGTGCTATATTAACGCTAGCACCACCATTGCGTCCGATCATTTCCAAAAGCAAGCGCTGTGTTCGTCAGAGCTGGCGCCAGCTAGCGCCACAAATTTTAGAGCTAGCGCCACCCCCCAATAGTGCGGGGGGCATTTTTTCCTAGCACCACCATTTTGTTTTTTCGGGTAAAATTTTGACGTTTTGTGTTTTGCTGACCTAGCGCCAGCTAGCGCCACAAATTTTAGAGCTGCCATCACCCTCCAATAGTGTGGGGGGAGGGGGTACCACCATTTTGTCTTTTCGGGTAAAAATTTGATGTTTTCTGTTCTGTAGACCTAGCGCTCAAGTTAACCTAGCGCAATTATAAATCCTAGCGAGTTTATAATTTTGCAGTGTCTGTCCGTCTGTTCGTTAGCACGATATCTTGATAACGATAACGAATTGACCGTTTACGATGAAATTCTGTAGATGGATTCTTTATCAAATTTGTAGATCGGAGTTCGTGAATTGGCAATGTAGACCAAAAAATAAAGTAAGCACTTTTGACATCTCTGTGAGTTATGAACCGAATTGTATGAAATTCAATATGTGTATAGCTTTAGCCATATAAAACGCAATTCCAAAAGTTGAACCTAATCGATTAACATTCACAGTGCTCTTTTCGCATCTCGACCATTTACAAACCGGATTGAAAACTTACTTATTTATGGAAGCATTTAAAAGAAATTTGATACATAGCCACTTGGAATAAAAGCAAATTTAACGCCAGTTTCAAAATTTGGTTTTGTGCATGATGTGTGGTGCCAATTTTCTTATTTATGGAAGCAATTAAATGAAATTTCATACATATACACTTTAAATAAAAGCAAAACTAACACCAAGTTCAAAATTTGGTTTTGCACATGCTGTAGCCGTACCCAGGAGCTCGTTTTCTATATTTATTTACACGTCGCTGCGAAAAGGGCACTCTGAATGTTGATAGATTAGGCTCAATTTTTGGAATTGCGTG